CTTGTGGTTCTGTTATTTCCTAACTGAATGGCATCCCAACGATGGCTCAATCCTAAGGTGTGTGTATTAGTGCCAAGAAGATGAATGATACTGAGCCTATCAGCTGTCTCTACGGAACCTTCGAGAAACCGGGCGCCGTCTCGTCGTAGTATCGCCTTGTCACGGTAATGCGGGGCTCTGCCGTGATTGACCTTCTTTCTCTAGCTACTCGTGGGACTTTTATGGACAGAGTAAACTCAAACATTCTTTGTGACGCTGAGTCTACAGAGGAGATGGGTGTCTAACTGACATTTTAGAAACTAAACTCAATGTCCTGGGTATTAGAGATCGGGCAAATAAGTGGATAATGTCATTTGTAAGGCATCGGCAAATTTTTGTCAAAATTGAAAGATTTCAGGGATTTCAAATCAATTTATATTATAATAGACAATGGAAGTCCGAACTGATGAAATACACCACGAAACATTGTCAACCACCTTCAAACAATAGATTCAGCATCTTTAAAAACTCCTAAATAAGAAACAATTTCAGAAGAGCCTGAAAACTTCTTTCACACTATGAATGGAAAATGTCCCACGTACGTAATTGGAAAAAGAGATTACATGTTATGTAATTATTTTATTTTTATTCATGCTGTTTATTGGTGGAAGCTGTGATTTTGACAAAAAAATCAATATGGCTTCAATTGAGAAGTTATATAATTATTTTGATTTGTGAAAACCACTATTTTTTTAAAATATTTTTCGGGTTTTCCCAAAATAATTCGATACCTAGGTCTCCTAAGAATTGTATTTCAAACAGAAGTAAATATACAACAAAATGTGACACATTTGAAATTGAAAGCTTTTTATAAATTAAATATAATTAGAGATTATTGATTATTATTTCTATGGAGAACTTGTCGGTGAGGTCCTTTGTCTGGAGGTGAAACAAATTCATATTATAAATTAATGGTAACTTTTCATTTATTCCCATGCATAATATTTATGATGCACTGTTTGGAAGCTTTGGTGTAGTAATGAATATTACTGGAGTTTTTTCCCAACACCAAATCGTTATTTTTACACCTCGACACGTGTTTCGATCACCAAGTGATCATCTTCAAAGAGGAAGATTAAAACTAGAAACTAATGCGAGCTAACCCTATTTATGTTATAAAGGTAACTAAAGGTAACCCTTACAGGTAAACCATCCAGGCGTACCAACCATACAGGTATACCAACCTAAATTATTTTACAATTTTGCCTTATCTATTATTTTACGATATATGTTCATATAAAACAATTTTCAGCAATATTGCTTATCCAAATTTATTTTTGCTATGTGTCCTCATGTAGTAATCAGTAAACCCAACAACATTATTTTATTTTAACAAGCTATATAGTATGTATGCTCTTTGGTATAGGTCCGTCATCGTTATTCATAATATTATTGTGTTTATTTATTTCTACACTCTCATAGGCAATTAGTTGCCTGTTGTTGTTGACTTGTCTAACTAATCTTAATGAACTGAAGTCTATGCAATGGTTTTTTTGCAAAATATGATGAGCGACTGCTGATTTTTCAGGTCTTCCATATTTTAAGTGTGCTATGTGTTCCTTATATCTCACTTTAATAGATCTACAAAAAACATCGTTCTGCAAGAAGGTGATATTTTGGTTTCTTTTGATGTTAGTTCCTTATTTCCTAGCATCCCAATTCCACAGACCTTGCAATACATCAGGGAATTACTAGAGAAACATAATTTCAATAATAACCTGTAAGAAATTCCTCTCGAATGAAGATGTCATTGCTGAAACTGAGGTATATTTTGAAGCAAATGATAAATTGTCCCACAAAAGTGGTATTGAATTGTTAGTGCGGCCCTGGAATGATTGGTTGGCTCTTGATGTAGAAAATGTTGATGAATGAACCAAATTGTGTACCTCTTGTACCTTTTGAAAACTCCTGGGACTTTCTTAGGCCCGGGAGTTTTCAGCCTGGGTAAACCTCTTTGCTATTTGAATACAGTGTTCCTCCACTTCCATTTTTGAGCTTAACTAATCCGTCTTTCATCAGAGATATTATAAGAGGTGAAATGAAAAGTGAATTGGGTTTAAATTCCCATTTCCAAAATTCATTCTCGTTTTCGTCAGGCTATGATTAATATGAGGTGAATTAAAATTTATCCATTGATCGAAATTTCTAAATTCGTAGTAGAGTTCCGAAGATTCCTGAGAGAGTGATTAGAGAATAATGAGATTAGTTTTGATACGTAACCACCCACAGCCACTTTTACTTCATTTCTGAGAATACATTTTCTCGACTAGAAAGTGTGAAAGCAAATAAGCCCTCCTAATGAGTAGGCTAATTACCCGCTCTGTGACTACTTTGAATTTGAGCTGCCGGAGTTTGGAACGTCTGGACCCCTCTCAGGAATCCTCGGAAGGGATTGCCAGACAATCCTTCCGTAATTAAAGTTAACGCTTCAAATCTGCATTAGACGAGATGGAGTAATTCTCGCGTTTTTTCAGCAAACCCCAACTTTCCTCATTAGTTCGTTGAGTTGTGACCCGTTTTCTGCTCAAATTAAGACTTTTATTACCTTCGCGTCTCTTTTTCATTTCGAGGCCTCTGGAAAAAATGCGGTTTTTGCTTCTACCTTTTCATTTTCAATGTACAAGGAATTAATTAGTTTATACAGTTCGGTGTCAGTTCTATGGGAGGATGGAGGGAGGAAAAGTGAAGTAATAAAGAAATTAGTATTCATGACTTGAGGGATTTCAGACCTCAAAATTGACGGGAACATTTAATTAGGTAGCAAATTCAACACAGTATTCTGGGTACACTAAAGTTTTTCGAAGCCAAAGATATCTGTTCCTGCGGAGTCTGTTCCTGCGGAGTCTGTTCCTGCCGAGCTTTTAAGTCGCGAGAAAGAAAGTTTCCTCTGGGAAGAATTTCATTTTTGCTTATTGCTATTCCACGACTATTCCACGACGAGGGAATTAAAAAAAAAGGTGATGTGAGTTTGGCGCCCAACGTGGGGCACCGAATTGATTGATATTGAATTGTAAATCTATAATATTATTTTAATAACTGGAATTCAATAATAAGTGTAAAACATTTGAGGAGGTGATTCCTTATCGAAAAAAAGATAGGATCTTTCATATAAAGAAACTTCATTGGAGCATCCCTTCTTAAGGTACAGCCCCTTAAAGGGGGTACATAAAATTTGTATAACAATTTTTTTCACAAGCACTGAAAAAGTTACAATATTGAAATTAACCTGACGTTTTGTACTACCAAAAAGACACTNCATTTTTAAAAGGTAAACAAATGATGAGACAAAAAGTTACATTGGAAATAAAGTTTAGGGGTTGCGTTTTCCACCCCTTACAACCATGAAGTGATCCAAATAAATTTCTGGCTAAGTGTCTTTTTAGTAGTAAAAAACGTCAGGTTAATTTCAATATTGTAACTTTCTTAGTGCTAGCGAAAAAATTGTTATACAAATTTTATGTACCCCCTTTAAGGGGCTGTATCTTGACAAGGAATGGTCCAATGAAATTTCTTTATATGAAAGATCCTATCTTTTTTTCGATGAGGAATCACCTCCTTAAATGTTTTACACTTATTCAGTTACACCCCGTATAAGGGCTATCATTATTATTTATTTTCAGTTTTAATATATTACTTTGAAACTGTCCATATAGGACGAAACTGTAGTAACGATAGTTACAAATAAAAGTGGTAAAACACATAGAACGCTTCATTTTTCAAGAGATCTCCTACCAGGTAGAAACGGCTATATGAATCAATTCATATCAGGTGTCCGACTGGGTTGATTGATCACATATTTGATGTCGAGAAAACAATATGTAAGTATTTTTTATGAAAATAATGATTAACTTGAATGAAGTAGAAATTAGTTTCTGAGTTCCACAAGGTTTATTACAGGACCTATATTATTCCTGATATACCTACTTAAATGAATCCAGTAGTGCTTTCGGCAATTTAACTAGCTACACAAAGTTTGCTGACGATTTGTCAATTTTTGTTTCAACAAAAAATGATATTCATATTCAACATCACTGCATTATAACACTAGATAGTGTGATAGTTGGTTCGGAGAAAACTCACTATATCTGAATATGATCAAATCTTTGCTCGTGAATTTTCATCCCTTCCAAAAAAAAGTTTGTGAATTTTAGTTCAAAATAAGATCTGATTATAATAAAGTCTGCAACAAAGAAGCTGTCTGGATATGTTCAACTGATTTCTATGTATTTGGGTGTTCTGTAAACTGAAAAACACTCAAAAAATTCCAGAACGTCAGGTTATTTTGCAAAACGCAAAATTGTTTTATGAAAAAGATTTTTTTTGGGATAATTCGAAGTAATAAATGAATATAAACAATTTTATTTTCATAAGTGTTTTTGAGTGTAAACGTGTCAAAACTATCACTACTTTCTGAATGAAGAACGCCGTTGGCCTCCAAGGGAGCTTAACGTTGGCGAAAAGAATGTCCTGCATGAAAGTGTCTCCCAATAAAGTTCTTTTACCATCGCTTCACATAAAGCTGGGGCTGATGAATCAATTTATAAAGTCATTCACAAGAGATGGGAATTGTTTCGAATACCTAATATCAAATTTTCTAGGCTCAGAGACAAAGTTGAAGGAAGATGTTTTCCTTGGACCAGATATTAGACAGCTTTATCAAAATTCATCACAGCCATGACGGATCCTCAGAAAGAAGGGTGGATTGCCTTCAAAAAGGACATGAATACATTTTCAGGGAATAAAAAATACCTTAACTACAAACAAATCGTTAAAAAATGTTGAAAGCATTTCAAGCTTTATGTTGCCTGATGAGTTTAAATGTACATTTTCTTTATTTTCACCTCGAGTACTTTCCAGAAAAAAGATACCAGGAAAGATGGAGCGTCTTAATGGCAGAATCTGTTGAAAATCAGAGTAAAACAAAACAACAGATCCGCTCACTTTGAATCATCATCATCAACTTGATTAATCATACAAATTTATTGAAACTACAGGCCCCAAGTATATTATAACAACGATAGATTTTCCTTGACAAGTTTACATGAATCAGTCAGCATTCTTGAGTGGTTTTTTCGCAAAAACAACAAACGCTTTGAAGCTGGTATGGAAGATTTTTTTTCCTGTTTCATCGCATTTGCTAGCCCAATTCAAACTGCCGTTCTTCATTTTTTCCATGTAGAATCTCTTATATTCTTCGCGATCTTGCTCGGCAACTTCCGCAATAATAGGATTCGTACTGAAGAACAGTTCTGAAAAACTATTTTGTGAATTTCTTAGAAGACGCATATTTTCAAAATACCTTCGAAAGATTTCTCACTGGGAAAAGCGTAACTCCATTTTTTCAGTTCCAAAGAATAATCTGAGAATCCCGTTTCACACAGAATTTTTTCGTACTCTTTCTGTGCATTTGTACTGAAATGGAAGGGCGATATAAGTCTCTCGTGGTCATATTTTCTCCATTTGGGATGTTTAGATAAGGAATCGTAGACTTCGTCAGCTGAAGTTCTCTCAACAAAAAATAAAAATAATTCTCCTCCAGGTTTCAGCATATTATACATATTCGAGAACGCTTGTCTGAAAAAAAAACAAACTTGATGTGGTAAAAATGCAAAAACCTTTTCTCAACAGAGACAAAACACAAATGAACCTGTTTGCTTCTATATCGCCATTGAGATATGCAACCTCCTGCTGCCGGTGAAGATGTGCATCTGCAGCCGACGTCCTGGAATCCAAATGGAAGGACGACAAGTGTGCTGTCGTCACCAAAGCAATATATTGTATTCTTATTATTTTCCAAGTCCAAGATATACAATAAAAAGAGGGTTGGAGACAATATGGATACCTGGGGAACACCAGTGTTGATGGTAAAAGTATTTGAGAGATACCCATCGACGGCCATTTGCAGGGAACGTTCTTTCCAGAAGCTGAAGAGTCACACTCAAAAATGATCTGACAAGCCATAGCATGGAAGTTTGGCCAGCAAAATCTCATGCCACACACGGTCAAAAGCCTTAGAAATATCAGGCGCAACAGCTCTTGACTCTCCTTGTTTTTCGATTGCGTTATCACAAAGGCAGTGCCACAAGGTAAGTGCCACAAGGTAGTGAGCTTGGTCCCCTATTATTCATTCTGTATCTAAATGATATTCAATTCACAACACAACAAAGTTTTTGTTTCGGGGTTGAAATTAGATGATTTTAATGTATTTCCACCTGTTAAAACCGAAAGTGACTATAAAAATTATATATTAGCTCTTGTTTTCAAGATATAGTATCATTATATTATATATATGTATATTGAGTTTTCAACAAATGAAATATTTCATCACCAACAGTTGGTACACATGTTTGTTTACATAACACCCCTCTCATCAGCTGTTCTTAAGTAGTAAATATAACCTATGTGAGTTTGTCAATTGTACGCACGTGGTTGCTATTGAAATTATCGTGTGAAGTTGATTTTTAAATTAATTTAAGTGCTGATCTGAAATGCCTCGAAAGTGTGTGAATTCTGTCGATAGCTTTTGCTATATATGTGGTGAAATAACATTTAAGGCTCAGAAACGTGAAATGACACCTATCGTTCAGACAGCCTATGAACATTATTTTGGTGTGAAAGTTGGGGACCAAGATAAATCATGGGCTCCTCATATATGTTGTAATATGTTGAAATGTCGAAAACTCTCAAACGGAGCAAAGAAAACAATCCCCAGACATGAAAACATGAAGTATAGTTAATGAACAATTGAATATCTTGGGATAGGGAATGTGTGACTTACCTTGAATTTTGTACCCAATGCATGACAAAAAACGAGAAGATATGATCGAACCTATTTATGTACTCCTTTGGCATATTCGGACAGGCAATATCTAACGACATGAATTTCATTCTGTCGTTCGTCGCTTGTTTACTAGCATATTCGACCATGATTTCTGATACATCAGTGCCGATGTACTCCTTGAAATTCATTGGTAAATATGGCCATAATGACTCCATAGAATTTCTGCCGTCTCCCATGCCAAATTCCAATATAGATTCATCGTTTTTCCAATTGAATAAATTTTTGTACTTATCCATGTAAAATCTGCTCGACTTACAGCAAATATCGTTATTTTTGGACCATGCTTCTGGTTGAATCATGACTGTAGAACTATGTTTGTAGTTGCTGTAGTAACTTTTCTGTAAACTTCTAGAGTCAAAATAAGTAGCAATTTGATACTGTTCCAATAAACTGAAGTATGGTTCATAACGAAGTTGTCTGGCTTATATATTCGAGTAAATAAGGGAGATCATTATTTACCTATCTTTATTGGTGCCACCACCAATAACAACTTATGATAAGCAGGACAAGTTGTGAAAATATTACTTTTGAATTATTTAAAAAACGTTAATTGGGCCTGCCAAGGACACAGCTACTTCGAATTGAAGTGGTCTGAGTTATTACATTCATGATGACACTCAATACGAATACAGGTACAAATGCAGGTACAAATACAGGTACAAATACAACTGATTACCTGACAAGGCATAAATACGCTTTACGAAGTCTAAAAGGTAGTCATCGGACAGCAAGCCATGATAGTTAAACCTCTGAAGAAGTTAGCCACTCGCACCAGCGAAACGTTAGGAAGAAATTCCAAAAATCCACGGCTTTCAAACTCGAAAAGCAAAGACACTGAAAACCTCAGCCGTGAAAGTCTAAACCATTTTGTCAATGATATTGATTGTTTCAAAATTTTTGTCCGATTGTATGAGATTAATTCAAACTGTAATATCGCAGTGGATACTTATTTACTTACTTCAGTTTAGTGGAAATAAGCGCCAAATGAGTCGATTGAGTCCGTCGGCATAAAAATTGAGTGTTCGGAATTCGATGAAGTAGACGAAGGTCGTTTCCCTTGTTCTGATTGGCGAAGGTTTTGCTGTCGAGAAAGTTATTGAAGTGCTCGAAAGGATAGTAGTCGGTTAGCGAGAGGTCTGGGGAATATGGTGGGCAAGAAAAAACTTCGATGCTCAATACTTTCAAATCGTGGGGCACCCACTTTTCGAGCTTTTTGACCTTGCCAATACGTTTCACACCATCAAAAACTGCATGGAAGGTGACGCCCAGTTCTTCATCGTCCTAGATTACTGTAGGTCGACCATTTCCGGGCTCATCTTCGAGGCTAAAATCTCCAGAACGAAATGTCTCAAATATTTTTTTAAGAACAAAACACAAGCACTACAGGAAAATTCTTGAATCCTCAAGGCGATCTAAGAGCGTTGCCTGTGCGAAAGAAGCGATTTGCATTTGCAAAGCATTTGGAAAAATGATCTCAGGAAGTTTATTCCACATAAACGCCGTTCTCCAAATGAAAGAGTTCCCGAACAGTGAAGTTCAAGGTGACCTGAGTTGAACCTTAAAACGATGAGCAACACTATAGGTATTTATTATCATGAAACAGGAAGCATGAAAATATCAAATGAAAAATGGACTTTATCAGTTGTAAAAGATATGGCACCTGTAAAAGAAGCCATTGTTCATAATCGAAACATTCTAAGTAATCTCATTCACCTACTTGAAACAAATAATTTAGGAATGAAAACTTTCAGTTCAGAGATGAGCACACATATTAGCCTTTTGAATAAAGTAGCTGATTCAGTAGAATTAAATATGAAGAGACGCAAATAGACGCCACTGATTACAATAAGAGTAATTAGCGATATAAACGAGGAATTTTAAATTGAATAGGTTCCGTATGGAAAGGAATAACTGGTAACCTTGATGCCAGTGACGGCGAATATTTTAATGAATGCATTAACAAGATTTATAAAGACGAACACCAAATTGAAAATTTATTAAAAAACCAAATTTCAGTCACAACCTCTGTAATCAAAGAATTTAACACTACAATACAACAATTACAAGTTGATGAAAAATCATTTAATGAAGATATAATTCAAATTGAAGCATGGATATATACGCTATCTGACAGAGTATCTTTAATAAACGCAAGATTGAAAGCCATCCAAATTTGTGAACAACTTTTAGAAAGTTATGTATCTCTAGAAGATTATTTGAATGATATGCTGAACGCAATTACTTCTGCCAGACTTCATATCATTCACACATCAATTATAAAGCCAAACGATTTAGTTTCGTCCCTTCAGGAAATTGCTCAAACAATACAAAGAAACAATTTACCTTTACCAACAAGACTTTCTTCAATATCAAAATATCTAGACATAATTGAAATACAAGCTTTTCAAGCAAATTCAAGACTTGTCTTTATTTTAAAAATACCACTAGTAGAACCTGAATTATATACTGTCTATAGATTGTACCCCATTCCAATTTTGGACAATCGAACAGGGTTACATCACATTTTACCCACAAATAAGAAATTTATAGCAAAAGATGATGATGATTCAATGCTGTATGCTGCATTTGAAAATTTAAGTTCATGTAAAAACTCAAACTATAATCTTGATATATGTCAAAATGTAATTTCTTACCCAATTGATAGTAATGCAATGTGTGAAGCTCAAATTTTAAGACCACTTTTCGAACTCCCTAGAATGTGTTTAATTTCACTTTTATTTGCAAAAGATTATAATGTCTATGAAATCCAAAGTAATACTTGGCTAATTGCATTATCAGACCCCTTAGCTGTAACAATAAATTGCCAAAAACGTGAGGTTGAAACACGATATATAAAAACTAATTCAATGTTGAAACTCCAAGATAATTGTAATGCTTTTATTGGAAACACAAGAGTGTATTCAAAAATACTTGCAAATGAACAGAATGTAACTTATAAAAGTCATCCAATTTTAATACCATACCATAATACATATTTTGTAAATGTAGAAAAAGACGTTCTATGCAAGTTGGTATAATGACATCAAGCAATGATGATCAACCACCTGGACCCAGAAGAACTTTCGCTTCATTACGAAGATTACTTCCAGCCCCAGGAAGAAGACCTAGTATCCACCTAGAGGAACCCATTGAGGAAGAAATTGAGTTAAGCTCACATAAAACATTTGCTTGACTGAAAGTTGCAGCACCGCATCAACTTTCTTTTCAAGGGGGAAGTTGTTATATCAGAAAAATCAATGCACCCTTTGTCTAAGGACTGCACCATAATAAACAAACATTGCATCAGCCACTACGCAGTTACCCAGGAAATGACTCAGCATATTCAGCACATTTCCAAGGTTTTTCTAGAACATTCGAAGAAACGCATATCTACATCAGCAGTTCCTGATCCTATAAATATGGGAGAACAATAAATAAACGATGAGCAGCCACAGTCCATGGCGTATTTCTGATATGTACCGCTTTGGGTGGAATCAAATGTACCAAATCACTTGAACCCTTCCCCTGAAAGTATCTATAAAAAAACGAATCTCCAACCTTTCCTTGATGTTCCAGACTCTCAAGTTAGCAAGATATGTTCGTGTCTCCAGTCAGGCGGATGGCTCTTTTCTGGATGGAATCCAGCAGCTTCAGGCTATGCTTAGGGGCAGAGCTCCATACATGTGAACAATACTCCAAAGAAGATCTGATCTGAGCTTTATACAGCATCAAAAGTTGCTAATGTATGTACAGTTTTGTGGTTCGGAACAGTGTTCCAACAATTTGAGAAGCAGCCTTTGCAATTCCACATGGTTGTGCCAAGACATATTGGTGTCCAATTTAACCCCGAACAAACTTATTGAAGCAGGAAACGGAAATGTTTGTCCTAACATAATTGTATCCGGTTTTGGAGAAAATCGATACCTAGTATTTTCTCGCATTAAATAGAAACTAGTTACTTCAACCCGATTCGAAATCACTTCTAGATACTCATTAGGATATATTTCTGCTGCCGGTAAAGATGTGCCTCCGTAGCAAATGTCCTGGAGAACAAATGGAATGACGAGCCAAATGTCGTCAACAAAGCAATATATTAGTTTCTTGATTTTTTCCAGCTAGTCGTTGATATACAATAAAAAGAAGATTGGAGACGGGATGGATCCCTGGGGAACACCAGCGTTGATGGTAAAAGTAATCGAGAGGTATCCATTGGGCCATACACAAAAATAATTCGACAAGCCATAGCAGTGTAGTTTGACCAGTAAACCATCATGTCACAGTCGGTCAAAGGCCTCAGAAATATCGAGCGCAACAGTTCTTGACACTCTATGTTTCTCGATTGCGTTATTACAAATATGGGTGATTGAAGGTGATTGACAATATTTCGTGATGAATTTCACTAGTTTGGACTTCCATCACCCGAAGACGATTGTAGATACCAACAATCGAAACGTTGTGAACTAACGTGACTTGGAATCTCTACACTTTTTTATTTTTATTATTTTTTCGTCTTTATTATCTTCTAATACATTCAAAGCAAATTAATCATGTACAGTTCATTTATTTATAAAAGGCGAAGTTCAATTTACATGATGACAAAAATAATTTTTAAATATCTTAAAATATTATTGGGTCATTAATAGTTTGAAGATGATAAGAATCGTTTGAAATTGATATTAAAATGATCGAAGTCATATCGTTCCATGGGCTCGGGAATGTCATTATAAATTGCACAGATCTGGTAGCTGAAACTCTTTCTTAAGAATTCTGTGCGAAAGGATGGCCCTTATACCTTACATTAATATTATGCACATCAGTTCTAAAAGTAATTTTCTGGTGTTAGTAAGATGGCACTTTACTATTAATTACTTTGTGAAACAAAGTTGCAGCATGTATAACTCTCCTGTCGTTCATATTTAACCAGCCGGTATCCTTCAGTTCATGTGATATTCTTTTTCTTCTTCTAATACCAAAAATTAACCGTCAGCAGGAATTCTGAACTTTTTGTATCTTTTTCTTGAATTGGTTGTTTGAACATGGGTCATACAAAACATCAGCATAATTGAATATAGATAAAACTAATGATTCACACAAATTCGCCTTCATGGGTAGGAAATTTCGGTGTCCATATAAAATTTTGAGCGAATAATATGCACGCCTAATAAACTGATTGACCTGGCTTTCGAATTTCAAGTCCTTATCTGAAATGATGCCCAGGCTTTTGGCTTCTGGGACAACCCCAAATACATGATCATTTACTACTACTTTCACAGATTTGCAAATATCATTTCTAGGAACTTTTGGTCCGAAAACAATAACAATGGATTAACTGTAATTCATATTCAAGCAGTGATCAGAAGCATTTTTCACAAATAATTTTA